TAGAAAATTACGAGGCTGTTCTGTTAAGCCACGCCTCTTGGGTCTCGGGCTTGTGGAAGAGCCCACTACAGGTCCTTAGAGTCGAGGCAGCGCTAGAGCCTTCACTGTCCCTGGACAGTCCCCAAGACCTGGCAGAGGGGTGGTGCCACAGCAGCGTCCTCCAGCATTTGGGCATGCTCCACAGACCTGTCCTCAGGGTCCGCAGTGGGGGAAACCTCGTTTACATGGATGTCAGGACAGCCGTTCTCCCTGACACGCAACCTGGCTCACACGGGTACGCATCTCAGAGCGTCCCACACTCTCACTCACTCACTTCTCTGCAAATGGCCTATTCTGAAACAAGGGAGAGTCTCTGGGTGGTTGGGAGGCTCAGGCCAGAATGTTGGTGGGAAGTTCTGTGACTTGACTCTAAACTGCCGTGCCACTCAGAGCAAGCAGGCTTCAGATGTAGAAACTTCTGAGAAGTCTTCCCAATGATAACCCAAAGAAAATGTGTTACCCGGTCAACTCTTAGAGAGCTTACTATGTTTTATCAAAATATATCTCTTGAAGAACAAAATTATCAGAAGAATATGGAAGGGAGAAAATGGGTTTCTCAATGGTAAAATATCCTATAAACTATTCTATTATGAGGTATCCATGTATATTTAAAATTTTACTCTATTTTTTGGTAACTTTTAATGTAAAAGTATTAGGTCATCGGGTAGTCATGAAATATTTTTCTATGTTTTTCTATGCAAGAATGTATCATGACTTTCCCAACAACCCAACAGATTTTTTTTAGTTAATTAAATATTTATTTTTCACAGTTATTAGTCTTCCAAAGTTTTCCTTTTTTATGGTTTTAATTTTTCACCATATAATTTAAAATCACTTACTTCGTGGTCATCTCTGTGTGTATCATTGAATTGAACTTCTACCCTTCGGCTGCAAGTCGAGGGTCTGCTTCCCTAGGAGGCGCTTGGCCCTGCAGTGCTCTGTTCTCAGCTAAGTCCCCAGTCAATGGGTTGGTGGGCTGTGCTAGCAGAGGGGACCCCCCTCGGCACCCTCTATGCCAAGAAAGCGTTCGTACGGTCGCTCTGAAAACACTGCTGTCTTGCTGTTAACTATATTGCACTGTTAAAAAAGATAAAGTCAAAGATGAAGCCATTTTTAAAGAACCTTTCCATGCACTCAGTCCCCTTCTTTTCAGATGTCCCACTAATTTCACATGTAAATGTGTGCCTTCCTACTGTCAGCTAGAACAAATTGCAGCCTAGTCAGATTTATGTAAGAGCAAAGTGGTGTAGACTCACCATTCATGTGACAGATTAAAAACAGAAAAGCAAGCTGATTTCTATTTAAGACCACCAAGACCTTCAGGAGCATGCGCACTTTCAGTGATGGCACCGAGATAGAGAGGTCGGCTGGAAGCAGGTGTCAGAGTCAGGCACGGGAAGATGTGAGTTCATCCTCCCCCCCCGCCCCCCGCACAGACCTGGCCCTGGGCCTCAGGCTCAAGCATGCGGCTGGAGTTGGGAAGTCCTTCCCTAACCCTGAATTAGCAGTTTGCTGAGTGACTTAAGAAAGTCGAGCTCTGTGGCTCACTCTGGATGAAAGCTGAGTTGTTTTCTGTAAGAGTGAGCAGTAGTTGCTGCTATGAAATACTTTCATTTGCTCAAATGAAATAAAACATAAGGTAACAAGACTTGATAAGTGGTAAGGAAAAGGTGATGGATAAAGCATGGGTAATAACAGGAACCGTTTTCACTAATATGTGAGTACAGATTGGCAGTGCCTCAGACCAAAAGCTACTGACCTCTCTGGAAACTTCATTATCTGTGTGTCTACATGTATATGCATGCACATGCATCGTATGTACACAGTATATATGCACGCGTGCATTCACATACACGCTATACATGCATGCCTTGTACACATGTACAGAAGCATACCTAGTTTCCAGACTACTGCTTGCTGACACTGGAGCAGAAGGGAGGCTTTAGTGAACGCTGTCCTGCTGGTGCGTTCAAAGTCCAGTGCTGTGGTTACAGTTGGTGATGCTGTAAACATAGGCTGGGCCGTTGTCACTGCAGTTTCTGAGCAGAGTATTTTCTACATACTGCTCACAACTGGAGTGCATATTGCATGTCTGTATTAAAGAGATAAAGTATTTTTGTCATTTATTAATATTGACTGTGAGTCTGAATGATGTAGAAAACTCGGGAAGCAAGGGTGTATGTTACGATCACTCGTGTTCTTGATCTTCTCCCTTCTTCTTGAGTGTCATCTCATCAGATCATCAGGAGAAATGACAAAAGCATTCCAAGTCCTGACCCAGGCGGGTCACAGGGTGCCTTAAATCTCCAGATCTCCTGGAGATGGAATGCAGTATGAACAGTTTTAAATATTTAGCTTTTTGTTTTTATTTCTTCTGTATTTTGCCTTAAACTATTTTTCATGCTTTATTAATATCGCCTTTGCAAAATGGGCACAAAAATAAAAGTGCAAGCACCGTGTGTACACTTCCTTATTAGCTTGGAGGCTCAGGCTAGCAGTTCTTGCGTCGGGCTTGTTCCACTCCCGGTATAGCTGGATGTACCCAGTGGTCGGTGGGGCAGGCAGGACACCACATTTTGGTCACTCACTCCCCAGCCCAGCCAGCTTCATTTCCACTCATACACTGGTTTGTGCCCTGACCAATGCAAGCACCTATGGGTGGGCATTTGAGGAATAAAGGCGGCACTCCTTGGTTTCCACAAAAGGCACGTGTGCACTGTCCATGCAGCTGTTCAGAAACAGTCAGATCCGTGTGGCCGCAGAGGCTGACACTGCTGCCTTTCACTCATCTTTCACTTGAATTTCACTCTTTTGAAATTGAAAAGATCTGGAAGGAATGAAATGATACACAGTGACTAGAGTTCAAATACTGCATATTCATTGATGAGTTAAATAGACTTATGTAGTATTGCATGTTCCAGGTGGGAAATACAGACGGAAGAAACACAATGTCTCCATCAGGAGCTTACGTCTTTTTCTTGGACCTAACAGGGAGCAACTGATGGGTAGAAAACACAGAAGCCCCAGAAAGTCCCCTGGCTGGTGACATGTCTCAGTTGTCCCTACCATGGATTGTCATCTTTGTGTTATCGCCTTGAAAACTGTCACTAAAGCTGGGGTGCTTTCTGGGAAAAGGAAGACTTCTTTAGCAAACGATGCTGGAAAAACTGGGTATCCACCTGCAGGAAGATGAATGTGGACCCCTATCTCTCACCCCTAACAAAACCAACTCAAAGTGGGCCAAAGATCTAAACCTAAGACCTCAAACTATAAAACTACTGGTGGAAAACTCTGGAGAAACTCTGGGAGACATTGGGGTAAGCTAAGATTTCTTAAATAAGACCCCCAAAGCACAGACAATCTCAAAAATAGACAAGTGGGACCACATCAGATTGAGAAATTTCTGCATGGCAAAAGACACAGTAACTAGTGTGAATCAGCAGCTCTCAGAATGGGAGAATATTTTTGTAAACTATGCCTCAGATAAGGGATTGATAACCAGAGTACACAGGGAACTCAAGAAGCTTTCTCCTCCCCCCTTATCCACACTCTATGGTAGAAATCGAAATATTGGAGGGCATAAAAGCAGTGAAAATAGTTCATGATGATAAGACAGTGTGGAATGGGGTGGGAGAAGAGAAGAGTATAGAGAAAGATAGCAAGAGAACAAATAGAGAGGCCTGACATTAGTGGGACACAGATATGGTTTATTACCTGTTGGTGATGACATGTATAGTGTTCTCAACTGAATTGGTCTGGGAAGTATTTCATGTTGAGTAAAGTCTTTTTACAAGCAAAATGAGAAATAGCAATTGACTTTAAAAAAAACTGGAATAATAATAATCGGGAAAAATGAAAAGCTACTGGATGATGAAGATGGGGATTGTAATGTCTCTGTATTGAATGATATGCATGATATTCCTTCTGGAAAAAGAAATGTAATACACTGCAAAATTATATGTAATTTACTGTAATATAAACAAGATTATGACAGTAAATAAATAAATAAGTTTTGAAAAAAGAAGAAGCTTACCCCCCCCCAAAAAAATAATATATAACCAATCCAATTAAAAGATGGGAAAATGAGCTGAATAAACAACTCACTAAGGAAGACATATGAACAGCCAAAATGCATATGAAAAAATGCTTAACAACTCTTATCATAAGGGGGATCAGATCAAAACCACAATGAAATACCACCTAGCCCCAGTCATAGTGACTAAGATTAAAAAATTAAAAATGACAAGTGCTGGAAGGGCTATGGTGAAAGGGGAACTCTCCTACACTGCTGGTGGGAATGTAAATTGGTCCAGCCACTGTGGAGAACAATATGGAGGTTCCTCAAATATCTACAAATAGAACTACCATATGATCTAGCAATTTCACTCCTGAGTATCTACCCAAAGGACAGGAGAACGCTCAACGGGAAAAGCACGTGCACATTTATGAGCAGCACTATTCACAACTGCTGAGACATGGAACCAACCCAAATGTCCACAAACAGGTAAATGGACTGAAAAATATGGCACATATACTCTTGCTGAGTGAAGCAAGTCAGGCTATGAAAGAGAGACATTGTATGTCTCCACTTAATATACACCGACTGTCCACACTCTGGTAGGGACTGAAATATTGGAGGACATAAAAGCATTGGAACTAGTTATGGACACTGGAGACAATGTGGAAGGAGGGGGGGAGAGGGGAAGAGGGTAGGGAATA